GCGCTGGGTGGCCGGGCTGGTTTGGGGGCTCTTGGCGGCGCCCCCCCGCCTCTCCTCTGCGGCTGGCCTCGGCCCGGCCGCTGCGAGGGAACCGCGCGGAGGCGGCGGTGAGCGGCCGGGCTGAACCAGCCCTTGCGCGGCGGCCGGGCAGGCGGGGAGAGGCGGCGGCGGTGGTCCCCGGGAGGGCAACGCGGGGCCGGGCGGGCAGACGCAACGCCGCGGCTGGAGACCTGAGTTTTCCCCCGAGGAGACCTGACCTCAGCAGGGCTCCCGCGGACGTGTGGCGGTCGTAAGCAGCTTCCCCCCCCACCCCCCCCACCTCCCCTTACCGCCCTCGGCCTGAGGGGAGGTCACCGCCGCGGTCAGGGACCCGGCCGCGCTCCCTCCCCTCAAGGAGAAGCTGTGGAGGATACCTCCGGGAAAGGTAATTCCCTGCTCGCTCCGAGCCGCCTTGTGCTGAGGGTGGAGGTGAGACAGAAATTCAGAACCTCTCGGCGCAGGAAGGGGTTGATGTGCTTTGTTGGACCCTCTCTGAAGTCACCTGCCTGTCCCCACGCAGGCAAAAATCACTGGAGAGGGACCCGGCGGGCTGGATGTCCGAGCGAGAGCGTTGGGAGCGGGGCGCTGGGGATGCTCGGCTTGGAAAAGAAGGGTTTTTTTCCAGCGTAAAGAGCTTGAACGGCGTGAAAGTCGTGTCGAAACGTTTCTAGAAAGCCTGTAGAAAGAGTGTTTCGGAGTATTTTTTTTCTGCCGTGTAATGTTTGGGTAAGCCCCCAAGAGAATTCGTAAAGAGCTGTGGGGAGCCTCGGGGGGTGTTCATAGTCTAAAAAGGCTATTCTGGTGGGGGTGGCTTTCTTCTAAAAATAGTGCATCAGTAGAGCAAGAACAGCTAAATTTTGTCACCGAAGTAACACTAAAAGTGGCAGTGTATTTGTAATTCTTCGGTTAAAACTAACGCAAGCATTAAGATGTTCAGCTGAATGCTCTTATTTTTAGGTCTCTGAGGTTTTGTCATAAACATTAAAAATGTGATAAATCCCTTGAGAGAGGCTCAGAGGCTCAGTTTTGAGAAAAACGAGGATTGATTAAAAAAAAAAAAATCCTGTTCAGAAGCAAAAATGCCACCCATTAAAAGATTGCTGTGTCCTAAATGAAGGAAGAGCTTAATCTTGGAGCTCATCATATTGAAGGGCTAGATCTTTTGAGACTTAAGCTTAAAATGCATTTTTGATCTATGTTTTGAAACATATGCAGCACTTGAATTTGAGGCTGCATCAGCAGTTGCAACAGCTTTCCAACACTACATTTCTTGTGTGCTGCATCTGCTGCTCTCGCTCCCCAGTCACAGGCTCTGGATTCCTTAACGTTGTTGATATTATCACTGAACTGCACTTCCTAAAAGACACTGTGACAAGTACTTCAGCTGTTAAAGGCAGATCCAGAAACATTAACTTTCTAACAGTCGGAAATTAAAGCTTAATTATCATGCCACCTGCTTTATCCCAGTGGATTTCCAAGCTTAGTTATTTGAAAGGTTTTTTATTTCTCAGGAACTTCATTTCTGCTGGATTTGTTTTGGTTTGGGTTTTTTTACTGTCTCTATTAGAAACCTGATTTTATGGTGTTTTATTAATTCCTGCTGAGTCCTGGTGTTGAGAAGTGAAAAGTGGAATTTGAAAATCAGAGGAAGCAGTTATTTCTTTGTGGCTTGAATCTGTGATGTGTTGGGTTATAGTGATAAAACCTCTGTTTTGCAACTGACGTTGTAGCATGGGAAGTAGTGAACAGCTGCTAGCTCAAGTGAGCCACTGCTGACCACTTCTCAGAATCCCCCGCTGAGACCCCGTGTCATGGGAGAGATTTTAATGTCTTGATTGTGGAAGAACTTTATGGTTCTGTTACCAGGATAAGCTGCAGAAACAGTTATTTAACTTGAATTTTTCTGGATCCCTGTTGGTTTTTGTGGATTTGAGTTTGTTTGAGTAGGATAACATGCAGCTGTACAAAATACTTGATCACAGGACATAGAGGTCAAAGAGTTTATAGAGGGAAACAGCTGTATAGGGTAGTGCATCAATATTTGATTCTTTGTCCTACATGAATGAGAATATGAATAGATTTGATAAACCTTATCAGTTATCAAAGTGTTTCATTTCAATGACTGTGTTGCTGCTGTTTATCTTTGATAATAATTTGGGTAACTCTACCTTAGACTAACAATTCACTCTTATTGACATAACAAGCCTGTATTTGATTGCATCTCTGGTAACTAGTTATTTTTTTATTATAAACATTTCTGCTTACATGAGCTGACATGGTTTGAGCTGCTTTGGATTGTTCTTGTGGCCTTGGACACTTAAAAGAAGCATCATTAGACTGTACACCTGACCTTTTTTGTTGTTAACAAAAACTTTCAGTAACTTTGTGTTTAAATGTAGTATCTAAAATTTTGCTACTTTTATCTGCAATGCAAAGTATAAACTTTCTTCTGCATTGAGGGGTTCTAGGACAGGTCTGTGAAAGAGAAGCTCACTTCGTCAGGAGGTAGTCTGTAGCTAGGAGGGAGTGTTCAGCTGTTACAGGTAACCAGTCCAAACCTTTGTGAAGTTCAGAAGCCTGCTGAACATTGTAGCTAGTCTTTATCGACTACATTAATAGAACTATATTTGATACATTTCTTACTGTAAAAGGATATTACTGTCCTTTTCTTAATTTTCAGATGTTATTTTACTATTAACAATTATTTTGCTTGCAGCCACACTGAGAAGTGTTGGGAAGAATACTGAAATCTTGAGTTCAGAACAGATGGAAGAGTATACTTCCCCCCCTGTCACGATAGGCACATAAAGTATCATGAGGAAGATTTCAGTTATTTGGTGTGTTTTTATAAAAGCAGACTTAGTGATATTCTTGAGGGTAAAGCTTTGGATAATTACTTTTGATGGAAGACCCTGAAACACAAGCTTACCTCTAATGTAGTGTTAAAAGAAAATAGTGTGGAGGCAGGTAGGGGACCTTTAACCTAAGCCCCCTTGATGTGGTAGTTTGTGATGCAGCTCCCAGGTTGCACAGACTGTCGTCTGGTTTCTGGGAGCTTGTAAACAGGGAGGAGGCTGCAGGCTGGGTGGTTTGTTGTTGATAGATGAACCGCAGCTCCTGTCTTGCTCCTTGCCATGTGACGCTGCACCAGCTGCTGACTTAAGGCTGCTGCACGTTTAGTGGTAGGAAGCTGTGCCATGTGGCCTCTGTGTTTTGATCCTCTGTCACGTAGCTCCCTAGGCCAATAGACAGCTTTGCCAATGAAGGGAAAAAGGCAGGAAAAAACATTTTGGGTTTTTTTCCCCCCCAGGTTTTCTATGACTCTTAGATTACATTAGTAGTGATAGTCAGTGGTGTTTACCAAACTTCACTACTAATGGTAATGATAATGCAAATATTCAATAATTTACTGTTTATATTGTACTGGTGGCCAATACAACGTTAATGCAGTTGCAGCACTTGTTTCCCATCAGTTTTATACTTAATCTGACCTTCTGTTTCTATTGCTGACACAGTATTTGCAATTTGGGATAAGCTACCTTGTGTTAAGATGATGCCCTCAAGCTCCTTCACTAAAGCAAGAAAAAGTATAAATTGATGTCAACGTATTTTCCTATCATTTTTGCGTGGGACTTAATACAAGGGTAATAAAGGTTTTTGTGGCATTTTATCTGAACAGGAGGGGAAAGCAGACAGATGCTTTTGAGTGCCCCATGGCTGCAGCTGCCTCAGTTCATTCATTTATTGCCTATTGTAACTTGGAATCATTCTTTAGGTAAGAAAGCCACTTCAAACTATGTTGTGCAGTTTATAAACTTACACCTAATATACTTCTGTGTTGAATCTTTAAATTGTATCTCAGTGTTTTGCACTCTCAATTATAATGTTATTTACGTGTTTTGTTTACACATGTCATTAGAAACCTACCTTTTATGAGTTAGAGACTGACAGCAGTTTTTTCGAATTAATTTTATGTGCCGTGCAGAGTTAGCGAAGGGACAGTCTGCTCACTTCACAGAAGAACATGTAATACTTGCAGACTGTCTGTGCAATACAAGGCCACCATAAATTACAAACTTCACATGCTGTCTACAAACAGAGTTACTAATGTATATCAGCTTTCTTATAGACAAGCATGGCTATGCAGCTCTTAGATTTTCTCATGTGTGAGCTGAGCAACAGCATTACTTGCACAGATTTCAGTGCTTGAGTTTGATTTTGCTTAGGAGGTGGGGGCTGCTTCTCTTGTTGTATTCATAAATAACACAGGTACTTTACAACTATAAAGCTGATACTAACTGGGTAGTTTTTCAAAAGATTATATGACCTGAGAGAATCTAAAGCCTCATGTCTCCTATCTTAAAGACAGATAAAGTTCAGCATTAGAAGGTTTCTAAAGATTTTTTTACTGGTTGAACATGATACTTTGTAAACATCTTCAGTTTCTAAATCTACTTTTTAATTTCAAATCTGTCATAATTTAGCAAATGCGTGTAGCTGTTCCTAATAGCTTTCCATTAGACCATCTTCAAATAATGTAAAATGGCTAACTGAATTTGGAGGTTTTGGGTATACTTTCTTACAGCAGACCAAGATACTCTTTCATACTAAGATACAGGGTAATTTTTTTCATATTGGTATATGGGAGCATATTCGTACATCATCGCTATCTTTTTTCCAGCTAGAGTTTAATTAGCTAAAATAGTTTGTTTCTTGTCAAGATTATTGTGATGCAGTAAGCATACTTTTGGAGTAAAAGTGAGTAATGTTTAAACCCAAGAGTACTTAAACTTTAAAATATTAGAAGTCATATCTTTATAAGTATAACTACTTCGATTCATGTGGGTTTGGTATAGAGTGAACTGAAAAAAAATGCTTCTTATTTAGGTTCTTACTTTCTCTAATGTACAAGAATCCAGAGGCATACCTTGTGTTGCATGAGTACTGTTGTGATTAAAATTATAGATAATGCAAAAACTAGGTTTGTGCCAACACTTACACCTGCTCATTAGTTAAATGATAGTTTTCAGATGACAACATTTGGTAAAACTAATTTGCTTGTCATGTTCTGTTGTTCTGTTTCCACGACTGACTTGCGGCACAGAGTGTGCTTTTAATCTCAGTCTTTGTTCCAAAACTGAGTTTAGTCCTTCCTGTGGGTCTCCCAGATGTTGCAGAACAGTTTTTCTTTGGTCGGTGGCTTCACAGGTCAGTTCATCTTCTGGGACCCATCCCTGCCTTCTGGTTAAGGAATCTATGCACACATACAGGATGACTCAACAGAGGGATGGATGTTCAGATACCAGAAAGGTGCTGGTAACTTGACAGGAACTTCCACATTCTTTGGAGGTATGTGTGCATGTAAACTTCTCATTGAATACTACCTGGATTATATCACATGGAACTGTAATTTAGTTAAGTTCAGTTGTGTTTTAAAATATATACTGTTCATAGTTTAAGTATTCAGAACAAAATAAGCATTCATATTTTCACAGTAAATGTTAGGGCTTCATGTTTGGTAAAAACTTCATGATATATAACCAATGGAACCTTTTTCTGGCTTTGAATCCCACAGTGTGTAATACAATGTAATTTTGCTAGATTTAAAGTACTGCAATTTAGAATACTAAAAATAAAAATTCTACAGTTATCAGTTTTAAAGGGATGTAGCAACAAGAACAAGTTATGGCCATGTTCCATTAGCGTAGATACTATGTACGCCATGCATATCTTGTCACATCTCTTCATACGTCTGGACTCGGTGTGCTGCATCTGGTCTATAGCCTGGCCTGTGGTTTAGGGGAATGCCCTTCCGGTAGTTCTCAGATGCCCAAACTTTGTGGGAGCCAAAGCAGCACCCACGAAGCTCAAATAAGTTTCAGATAAGAAAGTGAAAATTTCCATTTTTATCAGAAACTTACATTTTACCGAGATGTTGCAGATTTGCATGAGAATAGCAAAAGCATAGAGAAGGTTCTCAGACAACAGCGTTTATTTAATTTAATTTTTTGTTCTGGACTTTAGTTTTGGAAACAGCTAAATTCCTCCCAAGGAGGGAGGAGGAAGAAAAAAAAGCAGGTACTTGACTCGAAAGGTATTTAGCCATTGCTAAATTTAGCAAAGCTATGAGCAACTGGAAGAGAGCGTTATGTAATGGTTAATTACTACATCCACACATAATGCTTTAGAATGCCCATTCAGTTTGTGACTTAAAGCACTGAAAAGTCATAAAACATGGTCTTGTGGATGATGATTTGATAAAATGGTCTAGTAGCAAAATGTTTATTGATGCTGAGCTTGCATCTTTATTATGTTAGTAACACTAATGTATTGTTTAGAAATACTGCTTTGTTTTGGAGCATATTGTTTGTTCTCATTGACTTGCTGCCTTTGCTTGTTAAGGTAAGGCACATGTGTCTATTCAGGGAAGAAAAACTTCTGTTATTAAATATAATTTAAGGAGTGTTGCTAGTTTATCCTTCTGCATATATTACCTATCACTATAATAAATGGAACTTTAAAGAGACTGAGTGAAGATTTCTAACGACTGCTAGAATAAATTCCTTGGTCGTTGAGATTATTTGTCAGGAGGACAAACAGTAGTGAAGCTGGTCATACGAACAGCTATTGATTGACTGGCTAGGTTGTTCTTTTCCACTTATCGAAGAATGCACGTGCTTTCTTTTCGTAAAAATGGAGTTACGCTTGTGTGTCAGCCACCTCATCAGCCATACAGATCAGGTTTTATAAGTTGGGGAAAATGCCAGATAAGTTTGTGATAGGATAGACTGTATTTTGGCAGTTGCTTCTGGATTTTAATTTTTTTTTCCTCCTATAATGAAGATACTATGGAAAATTTTTGGTCCAGAAAAAGCATGCTGTGAGGGTTGCCATGGAAGGTTGCTTGGTAAAAATAGATAATGTCTTCTGTTTGTTCTTCAGGAATGCATGGTTGCTTTGAAAATTTTAGCTTCAGACTGGTGGGGAAGAGAAAAGGTCTGGCTGAACATCTAGTTAGTAGGACATTTGAGAAGGGGCCTCATGCCACTGTAAAATGAAGTGGCATTTGAAACAGTTAAGACCATTGTTGAGAATTGACTGAATAACAGAATTCAGTCTAGAATGGACTTGACTAGATTGTACTGCTTCAGCATATGAAAGCAGAGCTTTTCCTTACACTGCTCTTTTCTGAATTCTGGCTCATGGGGCAAATGTTCCTCAGTGAAGTAGATTCATGCAGTTTGCTGTACTCCAGGGTCACTGTGCTTTTTCTCCTGCTGAAAAACAGCATGGGAACCTTACTTTGCCCTGTTTTGATAAGTGGACTCTCAAGTTTTTTGTGGTTAGTTGTACCAACATTTTTCTTCTGCCTGGCATGATGTAAAAAAACCAAAACAAAGCAAAGCGGTAGGGCAGACAGGCAAAACTTTTGAATCTGACTCTTCTGAACACGTTTATTCTAAGTTCATCAGTGTTTGAAAAGGGAGTTTATGAATTGGGTTCTGTAGTTGATAAAATTCTTCTAGAAATCGTGAGTAGATTCTGTAGTTTGTCTGCTGAGTTTAAACTTAAATATACACGATTTGCTACTGCTAAACTACATTGCTGTAAAATACTTTCTTTTTTTTTTCTACAAAGTGCTTTATATACTATTAAGTACTAACACATGAACTACACTTGGTAAATTAACAAACCCAAGTTGTCCAGGTTCAAGTCAAGTTATACAAAAGAAAAGGTATCAAGGAAGAAGGTCCTTGCTCATGTCTGTGCACTGGATATTGACGTATGGACATACCTTTTTTCATAGTAGCATGCAATATTTAAATTTTACTAACTTGTTATCTCTTACTGTGTTTCCACTGCCTTGTCTCCCTTCATCCCCTAATCTTCTCTGTTTTTCTAGGGATCTACTGTATGTGAGACCTTTCAGGAAACTGTGCAGTTTGAATACATCAAATCGTTCCAGTATCTGAAACTTTCATGATGAAAAGAGCTAGGCAGAAAGTTGTGGTTGAAAATGAAGCTCCTCAAACATCACAGAAAAGCAAAAAACAGAAAACTTGTTTATATGGCTCAGTGTTTGGTGAATCTAACTTGCATGCCTCAATGGATTGGGGAGGCCTTCCACACCATGTTATTCTGCGTATTTTTCAGTTTCTACCTTTAGTAGATCGAGCCAGGGCATCTTCTGTTTGTCGAAGGTGGAATGAAATTTTTCACATCCCAGATCTCTGGAGGAGATTTGAATTTGAACTTAGCCAGCCAGCTACTTCTTACTTAAAGTCTACACATCCTGATCTCATTCAGCAGATTATCAAGAGGCATGCTGATCATCTGCAGTACGTCAGCTTCAAGGTAAGTCTTGGATGAATGGAGGCTTGTTCTGTCATGCTACCATGCGTAATGTATGTAGCTTGTCTGTCGATTGGCTCAAGTGTTGTACTTGGGAAGTCTTATATTTAAAAATGCAACAACTGCAACAATTTATTTCCACACATGCACACTGTTTGCTTTCAGTTTCTGCACTCTGATCTCTACAAGGTAAAGAAGGAGCTAAAGTCATGCAATACAGTGCTGAAGATTGAATTACATGTTTTCAGAATATGCAGAATACGTAGCTTGTGTGAGTCGATGTTAGTGGCAGTCTGAGTACTCCACAGATTATTGTGTAGATAAATATTTCTTACACATGGAAGCATTTAAGTTTGTCTTGTGTGTATAATTTACTTGCAAAATAGAGCTATACAGAGAAGAATGTCTTGAAATTTTAGAACCCTGCTTTCAAAAAGTGTGAGTAAGGGAAGAAGATGCTGTGCCTGTATATCCAGGTGATTGACACATAAGGACATAATTAAGTAACAGTAAACTTGATTTAAATGCGAGCTATGTTTGTAGTCTCAGGATTGCAGGAATTCGGACTTCTTTCATTTGAATGCTTGGTACAGTTCACTCTATTTATCTGAGAAGATCGTAGTTGGAATTACAGGTGCTTTGTTCACTTTTGGCAGTCACTTCTCTGTAGAGGAAGTCATAGTTCTTAGCTGTGAAGGAAAAGCAGAAGAAGGGATTGATACTAAAGCTAGGATGAAAATCGGAAGCTTCTTTTTCTCGGCACTGGTAACAGTTTTACATTGGGAGATACTGTGATTGGGTCACAAAGCAGTTCATGGATAATCAGTTATAAAATACCTGTAACTTCTGCACTTCATATAACTGATTACAATGAATTGGCATTGTAATGTCTTAATGCAACTTTTATGCTTTTTCAGCTACTCTTTTTTTATCATCTCAGCTACTACAGAGGAGGAAGGTGACATGAAGTAGTGATTTGTCCAAAGTTAGTCATCAGGCTTTGAATTGAGATGAATTGAGAATCAGTTGATGATGAATTGAGAATCAGTTCATTATTCAAGATGCAAAGGTGTTGTCCCTGCAGGTAAAATGGGTTAGTTTGCTGGAGTATATCTAGGCTTTATCAAGTCTTTTTTTCTTTGAGAGTTTAGAATTGGCATTTTAAAAAAAGGTGCATGCGTACCACTGTCTATCATAACACCAATACTAATTACAGTTGTTTAGGAAGGTATGAGGTTATTTGAAGAGAAGGCTTAGGTTTAAGCTCTCTGTTCATATTGGAAATACCAGCAGTCATAGTCAGGAAAGTTTTCTAATAGTAACTTTCCTGAAATCAATTTCTTGTTTTGAAATATCTAATTAATGTTGGGTTTGTCCTGCTGTCTGGTGCAGTACAGCTGAGTGGCTGTGGACCTTGCAGTCTTGTTTATCCATAATGCTGTTTTCTAAATAATAATAAAGAATGACTTCATGATTTTAAAATTGCTTTTATAGGTTGATAGCAGTACTGAGTCAGCAGAAGCAGCCTGTGACATCCTTTCTCAGCTGGTGAACTGTTCTATCAAGACACTGGGTTTGATTTCTACAGCAAAACCAAGCTTCATGAATGTCTCTAAGGTAATGTTCTGCAAACTGTAACTAGGGTGCCTTAATTCACTCTTAAACAACTTTAGCTTTCTTATTGTGTTATTCAGTTGACGGTAATTTTTATGAAACAGTCTGTATTTATTGGCATATCTTCTTTAATTTGTGGTGTTCATTAGTATTAGGAAGATAATAAAATATTGATTCCATTCATTAAATTTAGTAGTGTTGATACTTTGTGGCATAGAGATGGGGAATAATTTAGAAGGCTTGAGTTTCCCCATTTCTAGATTAAAAGATACAATGACCACATGCTGCAGCATATTGTTAAAATATTTGGGAGATTTTTTTCTTTGACTCTATAGGTCATGGCAGAGTTACTTTCTGGAAAATAAAATAAATGCCATTTCCTTTTTTCTGCAGATAAATTCTAGGTACTTCAGGCTCATCACTGTGTCCACTTAACCCCTGTGAAAGTTTACTGCAGTGAAAAAATAAATCAGAGTGTATGGAGTTAACTATTGAGTGTAAAGTTAATTTTTGTCACTTGCAGCAGCGCATTTTTAAATGAAGATTTTCTATGTTCATGTTCAAATAAGCATTTCTTTGTTACACAAGAAAGAGGATGCCTAAGAAGTGATTATTTTTGTAGTTTCTGTGTGCAAAACCTGAGGTATAGATGCTGAAGGTCTGCCTATCTTTTCATAAGATCTTTTTTCCCCCTCCCTCAATGTCTCCAAACAGGCCCATTTTGCTTCAGCACTGACAGTAGTTTTTGTAAACTCCAAGTCATTATCGTCAATCAAGATAGATGACACACCACTTGATGATCCTTCCTTGAAGGTTCTTGTTGCTAACAATAGTGATACTCTAAAACTGCTAAAAATGAGCAGCTGTCCTCATGTATCACCTGCTGGTGAGTAGTGAATATATATGAAAAATGTAGTAGTAAAGTATCATAAAACAATAGTCAATACTTGGTTTGAAACAAGTTATTCATAAAACTTCTAGTGTTCTTCTGAGTCTTTTAGCAGAGGCCTGTTGTTGACCTAGTCTTGGCTTTGGACAGTTGGAAGGGGAAGGAGAATAATGTCTTTGTGTTACTGAATGAGTCGTATTAATGAAGGTGGAGGTGGTCCTTGCTTGACTGTGTCTTCTAGAATCCTGGGGATTTTTTTACGTTCTTAGCTGCTTCAGTACCTCTGATAGGCATTGAGGAGGAAAAGCCTCCAAAATTAGTGCAAGTCTTTTAATGCATGTTCCAAGGACTTGATGTTCTTTGCCAGTTCTCTGTAACGGTAACCAAATATATGCTACTTAATGTGTGTCATTTTGTAAACTTAACTAACTGACATTCTGTGGGAACACAGAATGTGTGGGAAAATCCTCAACCCATGAATCAACTACTGGTTGATGGGAAAAAGGGGATGAAAGCAGTTGTCAATAACTTTCACAAGATGCTGGGAGCTTAAATTACTGATCAAAAGTGTTAGTACTTCAAAGTTATATTAAAAAAAAAATGGAGTGTGTACACATTTCAAAAACTAGCTGTGTAAGGCTGAGAGTATTTCAGTTTCTGTAGTGCCCTCGTGTGTTCAGATGTAGTAGTATGAACTTGCTCATTTTAGCATTGGTTGGTGAAGGGCTCACTCCCTTCAAAATACAGGCTTGCCAGAAAGTTCAGAGGGCTTTTGGGTCCCTTCTCACTTACCTTTTTCCTTGGTGCTAGGGAAAGGGAATCCTGGTCTGGTCTCTTTCCTATATTCTTTTCCAGAGTTGACAAAAGGTGATTTAATCTGTGTACTTTGTATTCCAACAGATCAAGAGCAATTATGGTGTTTATGTCTTAATTCAGGGAAGGGTCTGTTTTAATGTAGCTCTTAAACTAGGTTGCTGGTGATCATTTAAATAGAATGCTTAGATGAATGCTGAAGGAAGGAGTATTGGGGAAGGGAACAGTGGCAGCTTCATCTGAATCTTACCTGACTTCTGTTGCTTCTTCAAAGTTGAGGAAATTCTGCACAGGGAAGGGCAAAGAGGAAGAAAGATATGCAGATCCAAGATGAATGCAACTAGTTAGACTTGCTTCTTTTACTGATAAGTGTTTATGGCCAAAACCCCATAAAAGGATGTGGATATCTAGAACTTTCTGATATTTCATGGTTTTTTGATAGAGGCATGAATATTCAAGCCAATAGAATAATTACTTGCTTGAGCTTTACAGCAAACAACTGTGCTTATATTAATTTTTCATTTTACAGAGTAATTTTTTTTGTTCCTCAGGAATTCTTTGTGTTGCTGACCAGTGTCATGGACTTAAGGAGCTGGCTTTGAACTACTACATATTAAGTGATGAACTGCTGCTGGCTCTTTCAAGTGAAAAACATGTTGATCTTGAACACCTTCGCATAGATGTTGTGAGTGAAAATCCTGGACAAGTTCAATTTCACACTATTAAAAAGCAAAGCTGGGATGCTTTTGTTAAACACTCCCCCAAAGTCAACATCGTGATGTATTTCTTCTTATATGAAGAAGAATTTGATGCTTTCTTCAGAGAGGAAACCCCTGTTACACACCTTTACTTTGGTCGTGCAGTAAGCAAAGCAATGTTAGGTCGTATTGGCATGAATTGCCCAAGGTTAATTGAGTTGGTTGTGTGTGCTAATGGACTTCAACCTTTGGACGATGAACTTATTCGGATTGCTGAGCGCTGTAAGAACTTAACAGCAATGGGACTTGGTGAATGTGAAGTAACTTGCAGAGGTTTTATTGAATTTGTAAAGATGTGTGGGGGCAGGCTTACCCAGCTTTCTATAATGGAGGAGGTACTGATTCCAGATAGTGATTATAGCTTAGATCGCCTTCATCTGGAAGTCTCCAAACACCTTGGAAGAATGTGGTTTCCTGATATGATGCCAACGTGGTAAATTCTCTACATTTTTGGTAAAATGGTAGAATCAGGGTGTTGCTTTCTATGCAAATAAATTTAAAAATGAAATGTGAAAACTTATTTCCAGATTTGAGTTTTTCTACCATGAGAACCTCTAGTAGTGTAACAGTAAACCATTCTAGAATGTTAATGGTATATTGAAATAGAAAATAGATTAAGTGTACTTAACACTTCTGAAAGTATGTCTGTGGTTTACAGGTGCTTCAAACTTCAGTGAACTTGGGCTTCTCTGAGCTTCAGTTTAAATATTCCATTCACATTAAAGTTGGTTGGATTTTTTGGCATTTTTCTAATGTCTTTGTTTAGTCTTTCTGATGTATTTAGAAGAGGACTAGAGAAACTTTTTTCCTTAAGCAAATCCATCTTTATGGGAAGCTGGATACAACTTTGAGTTCAGTATTATTTGTCATGATGTTCTATGCAGCTATTTTTCAAAATATTCATGTTATAAATGTAAAAGCTTGTACATTAAAATACACTAGCCCAGGTTACTCAAATATAGTCTAGCTTAAACTCATGGCAGTGTATTAAAATGTTGTGGTAAATAAGCTTATGCTTACAAAAAACTTTTCCAGTTTTAAATTGCACTTTAAATAATTTTGTCAGATTAGCTACACTGTAGAGACTACATTGTACAGTATGTTGTTTTTCTGTCTTACGCATTAAATTGATGGGAAAGAGACCTTGTTAAAATTAACGGATTTAAAAGTTTGGATCTAGATTGATTGGGTGAATGACAAAGCACTTCGGAAACTGTGGAGTATAAGGAATAGCTTCTGGATTTGGGAGAGTTCAAGCCTTTGATTACAAAGATTGATGTCTGAATGCTGTTCCATGCTTTCATTTTTAAGAGATAAGAAGAATCTCATAAATGTGACTAGTGAAAAGGAAGGATCAAATGGAATACAGTTGTCTTTGATTGCTTTCTATCTGGAATTAAGGATTTAGAGCACTTTAAATTGTTTGTCAGTTAAGAGGCCAAAATAGCCTGTAGTAATCTTGTCTGTATCTCACAGAGCTGTGCTGTTCCTAGAGTAAGGGTTGCTGGAGGTGATCCTGAAATTTTTAATTCTGGACTGTTTAATACTTGTTGCTATTAATTGGTTTTTGAGGAAGAAGATTTTATTTTATTTCTTGATTTTCTTTGAAAGGGAAAGGAATGGTGAGTTGATGTGAATTAGAGTGTTTTTGTGTTGACATTTTGCGCACTGTAAACTGAAATGCATTGTATACAAATTTTTCTGTAATTATTTTCATGCTGTAGTTGTTCTGTCTTCCTATTTATAATGAGAAGTCTACATTTGATTTGATGGTGGTATATGTCACATCAGATAAAATGGCAGTTTCTTCCACACTTATACTTCTTTACTGCAAAAATAACAGCTAACAGGTTAAACCACCTTTGTCTTGGACAGACTTGTTCCCAGTTGCAAGCTAAAGGCTTTAAGATAACATGTAATGCCTGTCTGAATCAGTAATGCATTATTGCCTGTTGCACAGTTAAGAAGCATTTGACTCTGGTTACTAGCACCTGTTACCCAAGCACTTGCTTCCATAATCAAGGGGATTATAATTGTTTTTTAAACAAAAGAATGAAATATTTCTAAACAGTATTTGGTTTAAGATGTGTGGTTTGCTTTAAATGTAAACATAATAAAGTGATCTAATACGTGCACTGATATTAGACTCTTACCAATCTGTTGCACCATGTCCTCCTGTTAGGCAGGGTTCTGTCCTGTTAGAAACAGGACACAAATACTTGACAAACCTGGGGAGATGCAGTAGAAATGTTTAAGTCTTGGATTATAGAAAATTAGTCATTGTCATTTCATGTTTGTGCCTCAAACTTGAGGGTTTTTGACATGCTGAAACTGTAAAATGGAACATGGACAAATCTTGTAGATGGTTGGTAAGTCCTAGAGTCCTTCATGTCTCACATTAGCCAACATAACAGTGTTAATGAAGTATCAAATGCTAGTGGCTATATAGAGAAATATAGTTCAGGAAGAAACTGTTAAAATGCTTCTTTGAATATTGTCCCTTTCTCTGTCCCTCTTACTAAAGCAGCTTTTCAGTGAAGCCATGAATGTTAGCTTGCTCCAGGTCTAAGCTTCTAGAAAAATGGGCCTGCATTTATTGATGATGTGATTTTTGATGCGATGATTTTCTTTTTGTGCATTTGCTCTGCTAACTGATCTTAACAAGTAAGACCTATTGATACTTAAGTTTATAACTAGATGCCAACAAAATTTATAAATCAGTATTTCACATTGAGACCAATTCTTCACTGATAGTGAGGGAAGCTAATTTTAATTGAAAGGTAATTTCTGACATTTGGTTAATGTTGAATTTTATAGTTTTAGTGTTAGATTTGTTTAGTGTCATGTGTTGGTGCTATGGTATATGCACTGTGCTTTGGGGAGGAGTGTCAAAACACTGTCCTGTGTAAAGCATCGTGAATTCTTCTTTTCCTTCTTAAGTAGATTTTCTTGAATGACTGCAGTGGAGGGTATTGTGTTTGGCAAGAACCTATAGATGGCTGCCTGCTGCCTGTACTTCCTCCTATCCCTTGAATAGCTTCTACTTCAGAGCTCTGCCTCATCCTAGCTAAGGCAAGTTTTGTCTATTTTATTGGCTTTTCCTAGTTTACTGCCCTGCAAAGGCTTTCTAAAACCCCATCCCTGAAGCATATAAGGCAATGATACAATAACTAAACCCTCAAAGTACAGAATTTACACCCCATACGCTGAGGAGATCTGTAGGATCATTAAAAAGTCCATGTTTCAGTGAGAAGTTAACAGTAATGCACCTCTTCTGCCACAGGAGGGGGTGAGCTAGTTTTCATGCTTGCTGATTTTTCAGACTCTTTTGAAAAAGCTTATAATTAGTTATTGCTTACTTATTCTCTTGTAAGTGCAAATTCCAACAAAAACTCAGATCTTTTTTCTGTTTGCAGAGTCCCTTTTGCCATCCAGTAAAGACACCGGTTGTTCTTGTATGACAACTCCAAACAGCATCTTTTACACCTTGTGGAGTGTTTCAGTAAATTTCCCTCTAGTTTTCTGCAGTTCAGGTGCCTTCAAATTCTAAAGTAATCTTGTTTTCCAAGGTGTAGTGAAGTTCATCAATTAGGCTAAGATACTGCAGGTACTTAAAATTTAACAGTATCTAATTGGTATCTGGAATGTATATTAATGTTAACACCTTGCAATATTATGTAAGGCTCAAAGTATTGAATCAGTAGTAACATAAACTGTTGTTCATGAGAAGAAAAAACAACTTTTGGATGCTGAGATGAATTTATTCGGAATTTACTACATTTCCGTTTCACACTCTTTGCCCTTTCCCCCTTTCGAGATTGCTAGTAGGATCTGAGCGATCGCAGTTCTCAACATGAATATGAGAGATGATCCCGGGAAATACTCTTTGCATTGGCAACATTCTCCCAAGGACTTGTCCCTTAGAAATTCTGCCGTTGTATCTGATGGGATGGATGCAGACGAGTTTTACACAGAAGCCTGGTGAAAATAAGAGGAGGTAAAACATCCGATGGCTGATGAAGCACTTGTTCTTCTGTACTATTTCAGAAATACTAACATTTTCTGCCTTGTTATTTCCAGTGAGATAGCAACAGTGGAAATACCCAAATAGCAAAGACACTGTGGTCATAAAAAAATAGAGATAGTGGTTGGAGTTCTTGGCTTGGTGGAGGAGGGAAGATGGGAGGCAGGGAAAAGATGGGAATTTCTGCTTTATTAAAGACAAGAGCTTGAAGACATTCTACAGAACTCAATTATTTGCATTCTAACATAGAAGGAAAAAGTTCTGCATGTAAATAGATAGAAGATGCAGTGTTTCAAAACATGTACCTTGCTTAACTACTTGGCTAGCTGCAAGGTAATACATCCTATATGACCTCAAGATAAAGAAATATTAAGTGAAAAATAGCTATTTACCTGATCCTCTGATTTGGACTCCATCATCAATGGCATTTCCGTTGTGGAAAATTTTAATGGGTCCAGAGAGCTCACCAGAAAAGGGAGCATACACAGTTGCTCCATCAGCACAGATGACATCCACACCCAGATGCTTTCCTTTACCGTTGCGTCTGAAGAAAAATACGTAATTAAAGAAATCTCTTGTCAGGCCTAACATTATATAGAGATAGATGAGGAGTTAGCATGCTGCAACATCTGGAAGTGGGTTGTTTTGTACTGAGGCAGTGTTGACATAGTTGACTAGCTGAAGAACCTATAAAAGTGTTTTGGTGTAGGTGATGTAATGCCATGTAGGGGTTGATGATCTGTTAGAGTTGCAGTTTTGCAAATGGGAGGGAAAAAACACGCCTTTCTTCCAAGCCTTTAAATAGAACTGTAGAGTCACAGAAATGTTGCTTGCCAGGTACCTGTGGAGGACATCAAGTCCAACCTTCCACTTGAGTCAAGACTGTTCTCAACACCAGGTCAGGTCAGGCATGGCTTAGTCCGAGTCATAAAAGCTTCCAAGCACAGAGGTTTTATGAACAATGTGGGCAGCCTTTTGTGGTGCTGCATTACCCCTGTTGTGAAAACGTTACCTCATGTCCAACCTAAATCTTCAAAGCTATAATTCTCTATTTCAGTGAAGGAGCAAATAGTACCTTGGAGCGCCGTAGTATCCGCAGCCATACTTATCACAGCCTCTTATCTCATTTGTAGGATTGCCGGAGCACACCGTTGCCCAGTGACTGTCTTGTTGTGGGAATGGTGGAACAACTTTGAAATACAGAAACACAGCACATTAAAGTTAACTTCTAGCTTCTAAGTGTTACATGTTTGTAACTACTATGTTTTTCATTTTAGTTAGGTAGGAACATGCTGGAATTACATCCCACGTGTGTAGTTGGATGTTTTGTCCACAAATTTGTCATCTGTTAGGAAATGTAAATAGAATGTAGACCTAAGACTGGATTATAATGTTTCTGAATCAGGGTTGTCTCATACAAGGAACATGCTATAAAGACAAAAATTCAAAAGAGTATTGCAGTTCCTAGAGTGTCATCTGAGGAATGGGAGGAGACTCAGTTTTGTTTCTTATTCTGTGCCCAGGCTGATGGGACTGGACTCCTCAAGTCCTCTTCTCCCTTACTACCAATTTTTATTTGTAGTAATTTGTATTTACAAAGAATCATCCCAAAGTCTGCTAAGATGCATTACTGAAAACACTGCTAGTAGTTAAAAGCATACAAACAGAAGAGATGTCTGACTCAAGTTTATTGCTGAGACTTGACCCTGCTGTGGCATGGGGGGGCAACAAATACAACTTGTTAAGCTGATACATTCTCCTTCCTGTAACACTGTCTACAGTCGTGTTACACTGTATTTATAATGCGTATTTTCTTTTGGGTGTTGCTGTCAGGGAGAACCTAAGACAGAGGGGATATTGCTATTTGATATTGTTTACCTTATTTGAAATTAATTAATAACTTAATTTTCATTCATTATACTACTTATTCTGGGAAGGGGGGTTGCGGGGATTTTACCAGGTGCATTAGGTGTAAGTAAATGAGTAGGATCGGAGTGGTCGCAGTTCTCAACGTGGATGTGAGAGATAATGCCAGGAAATACTTTTTGCATTGGCAGCATTCTCCCGAGGTGTTGCCCTCTCTGGATTTGGCCGTGGTACCGGATGGGGTGAATACAGACGAGCTTTACACAGTAACCTGGAAGAGATGGGAGAGGAAGCGAGGTCAGGAAACATCAGATGCATCTGTTCTTGGGGTGAGCAAGAAACCTTCCGTGCTAGCCTCTTACTGAAGACTGTAATGATGAAGCAGAAATGTAGTCAAGGTACTGACAATCCTGAAATCAAAATTATTTGGATTGTTGCAGAAAAGAGGGAGTTGGAAAATAGCGTCAGGAAAACATCGTCTGGGCAAAATTGAGGGTATATTTCTGATACTTTATTTCTTTTTTTATTTGGGGTGGTTGTTTTTCTGGTACCTGTTTTTCAACTCCCTTCTTTCCTCCTTTCCAAGAAAAGCATAGGAAAAAGACTACATCCTGCTGCTACTGATTTCTGATATTTCTTAGCAGCAGTCTAGATGTGCTGTAGAAACTAGAGAGGGTGTAAGAATAATCAACACTTTGCTTGAATTGAAGAGTCACAAAAACCTTACTCAAGTAAATAAAATAGCTAGTTGTGCGTGCCTCACAACATATCTGCTGTTATTACTTGCCTGATCCCCTGATTTGGACTCCATCATCGATGGCATTTCCATTATGAAAGAATCGAATGGGTCCGGAGAGCTGGCCGCTAAAAGGAGCGTACACCATTGCTCCATCAGCACAGATGACATCCACGCCCACATGCTTTCCTTTACCACTGTGCCTGAAAACATAAATATGGAATTAGAAAAGTCTGCCAGGCTTAACATTATGTATAGATAGATCAGTTAACACAATATAGTATCTGAAGTTTGTCTAACAAAATTTTTGCATGTTCAATGAAATTGGAAAGAAATAGTGGCTTTGATCCATCTTTTTCTTTATTGCAAAATGTTTGTATTACTCTGACCTTCTTTAAAGGGGAATGAGATTTTAAATATTAAACATACTTTTAATTTTCCCCAAGTTCATGGGGTGTTTCTAGCTGCTATAGAAAAGTACCCCTGTTCTACCCCAAAATACATCTGTGCCAGTGTAAAATAGAATCTTGTGGTTGACATTTTCTCATTTAGAAATCTGGAAGTTGCATGATGAGGGTGGACACTTCTTACAGTGTCTGGAGAGAGGAGATGACAGGAAAATGCAGGGAAGGCAGGAGTCATTCTACATATAAAAGCATTTTTCAGGGAAATATAACCTGTTCTGTTATGAGGTGCCTACTTAAAGACAATGATGCTGGCAGACCTTTAGCTTGTGTAAATTAATCTACTTAGCTTCCTGTAAGCTGTTGCTGAATGCAAGTTAAATATCTGGTCTATAAGCAACAAGAATAAATGACACAAATCCTTGAAATACTTTCCATTTCATTTACTCTGGCTGCTAATTCATGTAATGGTCTTGCTTCTTCCCCCATGCATCAGTTAGTAGTAGTGGTATTACTGCACTTCTGCGAGATTGCCAAGTAATGTCCCAAAAATGAGTAAGAGGTCCTGCAGACAACAGTCTTCTCTCATTCTAAGTCCCAGCTCTGGTTAAACTCTTTCTCCTGTGTGAACATTTCATTTAGGAAAGCAACAGCGAACCCCACTGCTCCAGACTCCCAATGCCCTGCCGCATTACCTGTCGGCACCAAAATGGCCACAGCCATATCTGTCACAGCCCCGGATTTTGTTGCTGGGATTCCCGCTGCAGATTTGTGCCCAGTGTCTGTGTTGTTGTTGGGGCGGATGTGCGTCCAACTGCTTGGCGAAAACTTCACGTGCAAAAGAAGAAAATGGGGAAAATTCAACCATGTCCTTCGTACAGTACAACAAAGTGTTAAGGTGCTAAATAGGGTGTTTAAAGTGGAAGACGTGAGCTCATGGGAGTTTATAATTTCAGAAACTGTAGGTAAAAGAACATTGTACAACCGGCTATATAGATTTGAGCCCTCCTTCTTGAGGTCTTATTTTAAGGTACATACGCTAAAAGCAAAGTAAAGCTATAGATAAATATTTTTAATATTAGCTTGTGAAATAAGTTAAACTACTTTCTTCATGAAACCTCTAAACACTTCAATATATGGCTCTAAATTCCACCTAATTCCATATTTTATAATAGTCATAACTGTGCACGTTACCCTAATTCATTATAAAACTAGATTGAAAAAACTTAGCATTATTTATGTTTGAGTAAATTTCAATAATTCATTAGTGTCTACCTAAAATCGGTCAAGACCAACTGCAATATAGCAATCTCAACTCACCAGCGGACACCAAGCTGACCAGAGCGACCAGACTGAGAGCTGGCATTTTGTGGCTGTTCCACCAGTGTTCTTTGATCGAATCAAAGACGTTGAGCAGTAGGTGCCTGGGGTATTTATGTGTTTTTGAAAGTTGAAGTCTGTTGCCTTGGCCAATCAGTCTTGAGCAAAGTATTACAGCTCTGGACAGATGGTGTTGCCATATTAGGCACTGAGGATGTCTACAAACTCTAACAGTTGTTAGAGCTGGTTGGGAAAGACGGATAAAATAATTGGTCTCTTAGCACACAGTAACAGATGGAAACGAATGATCCCACATTTCAGGAAGTTCTGGTTGAACTGTTTCTTAACACCTTTTCTTCCCCCTCCTGAAGCAAAGGCGCACTTAGGCCAAAAATGGTAGGAACCAAGAATATGGTCCAGAGGATTGAGTTGGAGGGAGAAGATGGGCAAAACTCCATGGTAGATGTAACCATTTTGTCCTTTGCTGCTCATTCCAGTACCTCCTCCCCAGGTGTATGCACCCATCAAAGCTTTCTATCAGAGTGACAGAGAACACATGAAGGTGTAATGGTTGGTATAGCATGAGTATTCAGTTAGGCTAAGAAATACAGGTGCTTTTGCATGGAAACATGTCTTTTTTCCTGTTTGGCTGAAATTATCACCTAGCCTAGACTTACTCCATGAAGTCTTTTCACTGAAACCTTAGTTTTTGACAACTAAATTCTTATTAAAACATCTTCAAGTTCTGAAACAAGACAGTTGCGTACTGAAGTTGTGTGGCATAACTGACATGGAGTTAAAATATTCTCGGTTTTAAAATTATTCATTTAGTATGTGCTTGACTTCAGCTATTGTACTATTAAGCAGGCTCCTTAGTGTCTCTTTTAATCCTTCTGTTTGATTTTTCTGCACTGCTTACAGAAAAACATTAGATTTTCTTTACAGATATGTCTTAGTATGAAATTTAAGTGAGTCATGGCCCTTTCATGTAAACTATCTGATATTCCAAGTTGCAGAAACCTCTGGAAGTCCTGCAGATTTTATTTAGAGGAGAAACGCATGTGTGTCTGCCCCACTTCTAGTTTGCAAAGAGCATCTGTACATTCTGTTTTCTGAAAATCTCCACGGAACAAGCAGCTGGAGACAAACTTTTCACTTGTGGTTCCAAGCTTTTTTTACAGCCAATACTTAACCCCCAAACAATCTTTTAGCCCTCCCTGGGGTTATTACAAGCAGCTTTGCTGATTTTACCCCTGCTGCTTTCTACCCTATCCTGCCAGAAAGAACTGCTGTTTTTCATACTCATAGCCACCAAATAAATATTTATATAAATGTTATGTCCCCTCAGTCTAGCTTTGGTGGGGCTTTTGGTTGAAATTTGCTCGATATAATGGAGTCTAGGCTTACAAATGATACAAGGTGCTGGTAAGAGCTCTCACTGGATATTCAGGTATTTGGTGATGCTGCTTACTCCTGAACTGAAAGACGGTGGGTTTGTGTGACCCTTGCCAGAAACAGCCTTCGTCGCTGTAAGCTGGGAGAGCTCGTGTAATATTCTTTCCAGGCTTACTCGCCTTCATTTGGCACTAGCTCTCTGCAAAACCCCCTCAGCTCTCCTTCACAGAGAGAATCAGCAAGGGAGGTGGTATGGGTGGTATCTTTCAATGAAGATTTCATAGCACAGAGGTAGTAAAGTATTTCTGAGCTTGGATAGCTTGATACTAGCTGCTCTAAGCTTTTTTTCCTCCTGGAAACAAAACCGTTTAAAAATAAAGACTTTATTTGGGTGGTGCCCGGCCATTCCCAGTTGAGGGGTCTCCAGTTGGGTTCCTGCAATACTGATCTATCTCAACCAGATTTTATTTCTTACTTATTCCTGACTGCCAGTTTGCACCAGTGGAGTTTGAAGTATGTCATTATATAAATTTTACCTGGGGCAGACCTGCCTTGAAAAGCTAACAGTTTTTACAGACTTTTGTGAAATCACATGCTCCTAAATTTACCAAGGAAGGAATTGCAGCATCTCAGTCAACTCTACAAAGTCTTGTGAAGAAAAGGCTGGGTGTAAAGCCAGCCAAGCTAGTAGGCAAGAGGAGAGAAGTACAACTGCGTTATAGGTGCATAGACACTGAAGAAACTTTTCTGAGAGTCCTGTTTTGCAGTCTGGTACTTTGTAAAATGGCTCTAAGGTACCTGTTCCTTGTGATTTTTTCTTTTCCATCTCAGAGCTGACTCCAAATTGCTCATAGCTGTGTATGTGTTTTATATTTTCTCCATAACAGATCTTAACAGCATCGTATATTGCTCCGTTCTTTCTAAAACGTGTCAAAATGTCATTTGCTACAATAATACATCTAATGCACTTCTGGTAAAGTATTCTTAGTAAAACAGTTTTCAAGTATATGATATTGCAGTTGGGATTTCTCGGTGCATTCCCCACCTTTCCTGGGTGAGCTGGAAGGTGCAGACCTCTCACCTTGTGCATGAGGAAGCTCTGAACCGAAGTTGGTGGGATTCCCGTGTTGGGCAACGGAGATGTTGATATAACAGTTGGTAGGTGCGGTTGTGAAAGGCACAAATTGGCCGCTTAGCACATACTAACAGAAGGATATGGAACGACCGGCTGGCGTTGCACAGCCCCTGGGAGATGCAGTTGCACCATTTCCTTCCCTGTGGTCGGGAGCGGGCAAGGAGATGGAGAGGAGCCAGCGTGCAGCGCTGCGAGGAGCACACCGAGAGCAAGTGGGCTGGCTTGGAAAATGCTGACTTCTTTCTCTTGCATGAATGGTGCAAGTTCCCTGGTTTGCCCCTTTTATGTCAGTAGTAACTTCCCTGGCTGCGTTAAGTACCTTCGAGGTTGTCTTACGGACTGAGCAAGAGTGCGGCAGGCAAATGCGAGTGTTTGGGCTGATATTAACAGGCAGGGAATGAGTTAAGCCTGATGATGTCCAGGAGAAATCCCTACTTTGCTATTCAGCCTTTCCAAAGATACTGTGAGTCTGTTACCTGGGCTTTTGGATAGATGGTACCTGCCATGCATGTGTCCGTAAACCTTGCAAATGTTAGACTAGTCCCTCTTAACATATTAATTATCATAACATTATCTCTTAATGACAAAAGACAAATAGTAAAATGATGTAATAAGGTTTTTGGAGGAAAAAAGCCAGAAAACTGAGACACACACCTTGGCAATGGCAGTGGACCCTTTGAGCAGAAACATCAGCAAAAGCCAGGGCCAAACCCTGAGCCAGAGCAAATCCAACCCCCCAGCCAAGGCCTGTGGTTTCCCTCCAGCCGTACCACCATCCTCCTTCGGTTGCCCACAAGTGAGGGCTGGTTTCTCTATCTTTTCCTTTACACACATTTCAGCTCGGTGGGATTCAACCAACGTCCAAAACCTGACAATTTTGTCCATAAAGCCCTTCCTCTTTGCAACCTCTGTGTGGCTGCAGCCCCAGTGAATTGGATAAATGAGAGCTGCACATCTTATTTCTTGGTAAAGTCACAGTATCGTGACTGTAGGTTTGCCAGGCTTGTTAGCAGGCAATTGAAAAGGTAAATCCTCTTGCTAGATATATCTTACAGAACAAGTGGCTTTGTCCTTCTTGGCTAGCCTGGCATGTTCAGTCTGGGAACATGTCAATGCTGAGCACTCACCTCCCAGCTGATCTGCATACAATATGTTATTAACCTTAAAAGCTTTTCTCTGAAAAGTGAATAATATTCTTTGTGCTAATCATAAAATGAAATATGTTTTCAAATTTGTAGAAGAACTCGTGCGATTAGCAGCACAGGCTTTCATGGTGAAAATCAAGCTGGAACAACGTAAAACAAATTGTACTCACTCTTTATTCAGCCTTCTGATCACTGTCAAGGCTGAAATAAGAGGAATTTTGCCTCAATGATTAACTAAGCTTTGTGTACAAGGCTTATATTGTAGTATCGCTGGAAAATCAGCAGGTTGCGCTAGCTCATCAGCCAAGAGGCATGGTTGGGCAGGTAATTTTAAGTAGATAGCAGGCTGTAGGAGATCTGAGTATGTTGGCTTTCTTCTTTACTAAGTATGAGCTGAAGATGAAGCTGAAGTTGTGCTAGTGCACAATTCTGATTGAAGACTCCATCTCGAATTTATTTTGCTTCTATTAACATACTTGCTAAGCCTAAGTTAGGCAGGTTTTAGTGAGGAGGATTGAGGAACACAAAATAAAATCTTTTTTGCTACCTACGTCGTATCTCGTGGGGAGGACAAAGCTCTGGCTGAATCCTCCAAAAGTCCTCTAATGCTTGGGGAGATAGATGGGTATAGTGTAGATTTGGGTTGTAGCCTTAGGCAGTTAGTCTGGGACCTTGTGGTACAAACTTGTAAAATAAAAGGGATAGCAAGGAAAAGTATCCCTGCAGAACTGGTGCAGAAACAAAGCAATTCTGCATGGCCCGAGTTTGCTAACTCTTTCCTGAAAAGACTAGTAGCCCTGTTGCTTCCCCCAGCACCCTTTCCCCTCACCCTGAATATTTCTAGAACTGTGTATTTTACCAGCCCTTTATTTCCTTCCCAGAGTCAGTTACAAATTGTACTTTCCCTTCCTCTACAGCCAGTTATTTTTTTACTAGACTGAAAAGATAAAGCTGGATTTACTTATACTGTTTGTCCCAACTTCTCTGTAACCTAAACCAGAAAGTGATATTTACTTTTTCTTCTCTGCTGCTGGGTGACAAGCCCCAGCTAAAACTGGAAGTTTTAGCATTTGCCCCATACCTCTCTCGGGCACCTGCAGGAGCATCCCGCATCCCTGCACTAAAGCACTGCACCTTGTGCTGCTGGAAAAACTTGGATTAAGTAATAGCTCCCTGAAGAGGTTTGTGAAACCAGTCTGTGGGGACGCACCAGGAAAGTGCTGAGCTGTTGTCATTAATGTACAGAGGAAAATGTTATTTGTAGAGGAGCAAGGCTGGTGTGTTGGCTGGAGGCTCAGAGCCCTGCTCAGTCAGCAAGGTCAGCTCAGTCTTTCATTAGGATTTGCATGCAAAAGTGGGGCTTGATTGGGACCTTGCCTTTTCACATGTGGGAAGTTGACAACGGGGTTAAACCTGGGATTTTAACCAAGTGAAACTTAGGTGGGAGTCTTTCTTTTCTTTAGGCAATCAACTTCACGATGAAAATTTAAAAAATTGGTCAAAACTGGAGAACACTGGGGACTTTTGCTGAAATGTTTCTGCTTTCAGTATGAGGAGAAGTTTGTTTTCACAGCAAACTCAATTGTATTGACTCACCTTCAATGTCTGGTTGCTATCTGCCCCTGCAGGTTTTGACTTTATATTTATGTGGATGTGCTGATTTTTCATTCATAGCAAAATTAAAGTGGTTCCTGGGGAAGGTGAACGGAACACAGCAAGTTAAGCACTTTTCGGAGATGTAGCAAATATCTCTCTGCAGTTTCTTAGAAAAAACAAATCTGCTCTCAGGACTGACACAGCTCCCACTGAAGCAGCTTCCCTGCTTATCCGCGGCTGCAGTTGCGTTAATAAATACGTGAGCCTGCTGCACTTGTAGAGCACTTTAGCCCTTGAGACTCCCAGTAGCATGTTGGTAGCCTTGGCCTGAAAAGCCCTGTCCTGTTAACAAGAACTTGTTGTCCCGGGAAAGTTTTCAGCTGATTTACTAATGGAAAGAAATGCCTCACTTGGACAAAAAGAAACCTGGGTGTGCCAAGGCAATCCTAAAGCAGGAGTCTGGGGAAAAGGAATGAGTTACTTCATTAATGTTGTTTTATGTTTTTGGTCATGGGCTCCAGGAAAGATTTGGATTTCAGCTTTATACAGGTTTTTTCTCCCCAGCTGCATTAAAAAAGCAGAACCCAGCCCAAACTCTGTGACAGCACCAAAGAAATTCAAAGCAATTTGTAGTGAAGCAGCCCTTTAATAACGTGATTTTCCATATGCAAGCACAAGTGAAATTTCTGGCTTCTTGAAGAAATCTTCATGTTTGGCTGCAAAGAGAGCAGAGAAGTCCAAGACGAGTGAGCTGCAGCACGGCTCCCTGCGGTGCTGCTGAGCGTCGAGATTCCACCACGTCCCAGCCTCTCGTCCGTTCCCCACTGCTTCAGCCTTCATCTACGCGTGTAGTGATGCGTGGCGTACGATAGCAGCTTTAGAGCGTGTGTTATACCTTACTCTGAGGCTGTTTATATTCAGATAACCACCAGCATTTTGTTCATGGATACATTTTAGGTGGAACAACTGCCTGAGGCTAGTGGCTTCCACTTTAGTAAAGTGACTACCTATGCCCAAGCAACTTAATGAATACGCAAGTGGGGAGCTGAAGGCTTTGCCCCTGATATGCAGCTGCCCCTTTACAGGTTGGGAGTAGGATCTGTTAAGTCACAGTTCTGGATATGGACATGGGACGTAATTCCTTGGTAGACCCTTTGCATGGGCAGCAGGATGCCGATTTTCTCTCCCTTCTTGATGGGGCCACTGTACTTGACAGGTTTGATATAAAACATCTTAATACAGAATCCTGTTAACAGGGGAGAGAGAAAAGGGGGAAACCGTTGCTCCTATGAAATAGTTTAAAAGTCTGGCAAAGTCATAATGTTCAGTAGCAAAATACAAACGACAATAAAATGACAAGAGATTCAGCAGAAGAAAAACTTACAGAAAATGCTGTGATGCTCCTATAGCATCAAGAAGAGAGAATAGGAAAAGAAATAAATTAACATGGAGGAGGGTGGGGAAGGGGATTAAGGTGGGTAAAACTGGATGAGCAAGTCTGAGGCTGTTCCTTTAATTATCTAAAATGTGCAAAGGGGCCAGCTTCATCCTTTGACCTTTTTTAATAGAGGTGAAATGCTATAATCCTTTCAATCAATTTTCCTGCATTAACAGAACCTGGATTTCAAAGTTACAGTTTTCACTTGGATTCACAGGCAAGCACACTGCAGTTTGGGTTGGGTTCATGATTTTTGGCTCAGTGTAACGCTCTATAAACGAATCGGAGCGTTTCGCAATCAGGCTTTGCAAGACGCATGCCTTTCAGCTCGGGTACCTGATCCTGAAAGCTGGACTCCGTTGTCGATGTCATTGCCGTTTCCGTAGGGCCTGGCTTGTTTGTCAATCTTCCCCGAGAAGGGTGCGTACACCACCGAGCCATCCTCACACACCACGTCCACTCCTCTGTGCTTCCTCCCTCCTCCTCTGAAGAAGAGCAAGGCAAGTTAGCCCGCGGCAGAGCACCTTGCCAGCTAGAAACCCTCCTCTTGCCCATTTTTTCATGCTTATTTCTATTTTAAGAAAGTTTCATTCTTAAAGAATGAAACTTAAGAAAGCCATCTCCCGTCATCCCAGCCCAGGACCTGGGGTCGTTGTATCCACCGCAGCCCTTGGAGTCGCAGCCTCTGATTTTGTTTGTAGGTTGACTTGAGCAGATTTTCGCCCATTGTGCTGCAGTAGCTAGAAAAGAAGAAAAGAGAAGTACAGAAGATGAAACCCACAAGATAGAAGGGGAATTTCCCAGCCCCTGTAGTTTAATCAATAGCAAGGTCTCTTTGGACTTTTCTGTAATCAGGGATCAGGCTTCAGGGAACTAGAAAGTTGTTGATCTTTCCATGCAAGTTAATTTTAGGGATGCAATGAAACAGCATTTTTTTGTTTTATGCTTTGTCCAGTGGTGCTTGAGAGTACTTAAAGCAGCGACATCAAACCAAAAATGCAGAACAAATAAATCTGGAAGGGACATCACGGAGTGAGACACTCTTCTCCCATTGCCCGGGGCAGACGTGTTGTGCTGCGTTCACATGGCAGGCGTGGGGCTGGAGCTACGGGATCTCTCTGCCTGGAAGGTGACCTGAACCGCCCAGGAGCTTGGGGTACTAAACTGTAAGTGTGAAAAATAGCTCTGAGAGAGACCCACTGAGTCCATTCCTATTCCCTAAAGTGGGATCCAGTCAAAAATACAAGCTGTCATCTACCTTTAACTAATTGCATTTTGTATCTCCCAGCGTTTCTATATTACTGTTTCAAAGTAGCAGCCAGTAAGGTACCATCCTCCTATTTTTTATTCCAGCCTCCAGCTATCATCACCCACAGTCAACCCCATGCTGATCCTATGGCCCCAGGGATAGGGGGGAAAGGCAACTCCTGACTTGGTACCTTCTACAAGCCTCTAACAGCCCTGCTCCCCCCCCAAAAGCTACTAGGGTTTCCCATAGGATGCTTTAGGAAGAATGGGGCTGGCCTAGTAAGAAGCAACAAGTTGAGGTTTATTCGTATGTGTGAGCAGCTCGGCAGGCACCATCCCAGTTGGGCTCTGGGATTATACACAAACAGGGGAAATGATGTGCTGGCACCGAAGGTCTGGTGCTAAAAGGGTGCAGGAAATCTCTAATGCCTTCCTCAAGCAAAACAGCCCTTTGTTCTAGGTAGTCTTCATTTCTTTTGGAGAATTGTGTATTCTTTGTGAAATCAAAGGTGATGACATTAAACACAGAAACATCTCTGGGAACGCTCTATGCACAGCGGGCTGATCTTTAAGTAAAAGGCTTTTAAGAAAACATGCATGCTGTTAGTAATTGATATGCCTCAGCTGATTCTTTCTTATTCAGTCAACGTTATTACTCCAACAAAATTTTGCCACAACTCTTTACCATATCTGAAAAGGATTTTTCTGTGGAGGTTTCTCTGCAGTGAAACTACTCTATTTTCAAAAGTAAAAAATGGCAGAGAGCAAATCAGTTCCTAAATCCTTACAGAAACACTTCATTAAAAAAAGACCAAAAAAACCCCCAACCAAAAAACAAACAAAAAAACCCCAAACAGAGAAAGAAAAAGAAGGCAAGCTACAATGAGCAATGTTTACTAAAATTCAGCTAACTCACCACTGGAGATCGCAATCACGAGTATGACTGCTGTGACTCTGCGCATTTTCATGTGCCTTGAGAGCTCTGCTTTCAAAGTGAAAGGTCTAAAATACTTTGCCTTCTATTTATACATCCCAACAGAGGCTGTATCCAAATTTTTCCAGCCAATCAGAAAATTGATGTGGCCTTAGTTATTTGCTTGCAGATTCAGGCCAACAGCAAGAACTGAGCAGCCCTCGAGGTGTACCACCAGCCTGGCTAATTGGCAGTGTAGAGGCTCCAACTTATTTAGCAATAGCAGCTACGTGGTTTTGTTTACAACAAAACTGTGAATATTAAACCCAAATTTTAAGGACAATTTGTAACTATTCCTGCCTGTTGCACCATCCTGATGTTTAGCAAGATAATTTGGGTGGAGAAGGGGAAAAGAGTTCAAATGAACTGACAAAAATATCTGGGCACATGGGTGCTACCTTGCCCTCCCACCATGGCTGTTGCTTCATGGAAAGAAGTTCAGCCAGGTGGATGCAGCTCTCTGCCACGCATCACACCCAGCATCACACTGGAAAAATCTGATTAGGCGATCTGTGAAATGAGACCCTTGCACCCTGTTTTTATTTGCCGGCTTCATTAATGCATCCCAGATATTGCCATGTTGCTGCTGCTGAACCTTCAACGTTAACAGTAGGAGAGACAGATGTTTACAATCTTCCCTGTGCCTGAACGGAAAATGTTATGAACCCTATAATATTGTGGCTGAGCAAAATTACAGGAAATTGAAGAAGAAGAGAACACTGGAGCACGAACAAGGCTACCTCGAGTGTTGTTTCTGGGAAGGGAGGGAATGCGATGCCCTGGTTTACAGCCAGGAGCTGAAAGTTGTCTTCTCGGCTCTTTGGCCACCCGGCCTGTGCCACTGGGAGCCACTGACCGTTTTGCTTCCCTGTGCAATAAAAACTGAGAGCCCAGGTTAGAATATGGCTTTGGGTCGGGGTTCTCAGCTGGAATGCTGTGCCCTTGCTGTCTGTCTTTCGTGGCACAAAATGGGTGAAGACTGGCCTTACATCCCAAAACAGAACCAAGAGCAGTTCTGCTGCGTAGGATTCAAACCCATCTTTGCCCGAGATGGAAACATCAGCAGCCCGTGGATGCCACTGAACAGAAGTTGTATTTCACTGGAGAAGAAAGTGATCCCACCAGGATGTCTTCAAGACACATGTGCTGCCTTCTCCTTTCCCCTTCTCCCAGTGACGTGTCATCCAACTATGCCACTTTTGTCTGTCATATAATAACAGTGACAGGGTGACAGCTTGCCTTGGACAAAGCCAACACCTGAACCCAGCTGAAGCCTGGCTGGAGTGGGCTTCATCGCCTGGTGGAGACCCCGTGAGATGTTTCAGCTCCAGACAGCCCACTCCAAATGAGCAAGACGAGGAGGAGAATCGTGCCAGTCCTGCTACACGAGGGGTTTTAAACCTACTGCCACCTTCCTATGCCCCATGCTCCCATTTGAATCCCTGCGTGAGTTCTTTCACCAGAAGAAAGACTCCTGGTTTACTGTTTTCCTGCTCATTGGATGTTTTGTGTAGAGAGGAGAAAAATCTATTTGACAGTAACATTTTGAAATTATATGTTTAGACAGAGTATGTAGGAAAAAATATGACAGTACCTAGCATTCTATTCAATGCTTCTTGTGCCCAGGGCTCAGCTAAACCAATCCAGATAAAATTGCATTTCTTTAATTTTGTTAAGTACTGATTTTGTTAGAGACCTACCAATCAAGATCAAACAGGAGAAAAGGAGTGAAGTAATTCTGTGCATTTCCTCAGAAGCTCAGAAAATGAGTTTTTTTCCTAATCTGTTACTAATAAATATCCTGAAGGCCAGATACTTTCACAGCCCATCCAGTTTCAAGTTGCAGGCTCAGTTTAGTGCAGCAGAGGCAAACGTACCATGATGAAATGCAACAGGAAAACCCACCAGCTTCAAGGGCATTCTTCAAACCCAACAGTAAGGTCTCTTGGTCATCTCTGATATTCCCCTGACTCATGGGAGCAGCCACAACAGCTAACTTCTGTTCATGCCCTAAATTAGCAGTGTCACCAATACACTTGGCCACGTAGACTATAGAAAATGTGCATCTGCCCTTGGGTCACCCTGGGAAATTTGAGTTAAGAGCTTTTTGGAAATCTGGATTCCCAGGCTGGATATTGGTTTCTCCAGGGTCTTTTAATAAACTACTGCCTTGCCGCTTCTGGTGTGTGGAGGATGGGAAGACTGTTAAGATCTGCAAGGCATGGCTCCCTGTACCCCTCCGTGACATTTTTTGGCTCTGTTTTGATTTTGCTAACTGAGTTGAAAAGTTTTTACAGAGCTAATTGAGTGAATTAAACATGGTAAAGACTAAATTATTTGCTGACGTTTTATGTTATACTCTAAGATAACGATCAGGGAGGTAAAGAGTGATTAATGTAGATTTTGTGTGAACTGTGCAAGAGAAGCGGATGCTTTGCTCGCCTTCTCTATGCCCACCACGCTGCATTTCACAGGGGTTACAGCCTTATTCTGTGTCAGAACACCATTCCGAGGACTGAAGCAACGCATGCAACCTACCAATTCCTTCCCATTTTGCTTATTGCTAGCTGTAGCCAAAGTTGTTTCTTTTTCTTTGCAGAAAAACCAGTCGCAGAAAGGTGGAAGCGATTGGCAGTTACTTAACTTTGCATTGATGGCAGGTGCGTGGAAGAGTTAAAGCAGAAGAGGGGGAGCAAAACCAAGGGCAGAGCTTTTGCAATGTAGGACTCATTTGTTGGGGAGGAGATGGTGAAAACTGTGTGGGACGTAAGTGAGGCAGGACAGAGCTTTTCCTCGTCTCACGTGGTGCCTGGAGCCACGGAGAAATAGAAGTAAAATGTGCGTATGGGATAAGCAATCCTCTTTAACAGTAGCTGCAAAGCCTAGATAGCATGTATGTCTGGAGAGGAAAAAAACCAAACCCCAAACACTGCAGCTTTGTAGGCTTTGCAGGACACCCTGTGGTTTATGAATACCCACTGTGCTGTGTTTGGGGGTAACACCCAGGGGAGGTGGGTGTCTTGCTTGCAAAGGGGTGAATAAGTAGCAGAATGGTAAACTACTGGTATGCAAGTAAGCACCACAGTGCAATCAAATTAAATGTAATTCCAATAAGATTAAATTTAAAAGATAATGACTTTAAATCCTAGCTCCAAAGCTCATCAAACTCACTAAAAGCAATTTCCAAAATTGTAACCATGCTGGGATCTAATAAAGTTTTCATTAAAGAGGAAGTGTTTGACTCAGCCTGTCACTTAGCAATATGAAGGGTTTTTTTCCCCTGTTATGGAAGGGATGCAAGTAGCTGTAATAGTTTCCTTTCTGTTTTACCAAGTATCAAGGCATGACTGAGTTTGTTGGCAATGCTGTAAAGGCTGTGAATTCCCAACTAACTTATGCTAAAAATGCTCTTTGCTCCTACCCCTTCAATTCTGAGCTTTTGATAACAAAGATATGCCGAAGCTCACGGCCTGCTCTGGTTTTTGCTTTACCACAATTACCCAGCATATAAATCCAACAGACAGGAGCCTTCTCATTTTCTTCTAGTCACTAGTTAGTACAACCTGAAACACCTCAATATGCTTAAAAGACCTTCAGATTCAAATAGAGTGAAATCCCTGGGTATGGGTAGATTGCAGTGAAGAAGAGAGGGCAGTTTGGTTACCTAAATGTCAGGTTTTGGAAATATCCAGGTTTTGCAAGATTCTAGTTCAATTTCTAACATGAAATTAAGGGAAGGAAGCCCCAAGGCATGGTACTGCAGATGTCTATTGTCAACGTCTTATTTTTCTTCTCTTTTTTTTTTGATGGTGGCAAACACCACACATGAGCCATTCAAGGAGGTGATGAGCTGTAATCCTATGTGCCAGCACACTTTCCCTCTTGCTGGGCTGGGTTGTGTTGCCCATGTTTCCCAGAGACTGCCGAGTGCATAAAAGAGGGCCTGAATTAATCAAAAAACTGTCTATGCGGATAACAACTTATTGCTTCTGTTAATTATGCTTATTAAAAAAAAATAAATTGGAAGAACAGGGCATTCTAGAGAGCACTCTGGTGTCCAGAAGCAGCTGTTTCATCTGCCTCCCCTTCTCTGATAACACCTTGGACCTTTAAAGAAATAGGAACTAGTTTATCACCAAAAAGTCTTTTTTTTAATTAGTATTTCTTATTTTTGTAAGAGGAAACATTTTTTGTTGTTAGCATGTAATGGGTTCCTGAAATGCAGCATCCAGCTGGTGTAGTGGGCACTGAGGGAAAGGATGGTAATGAAACCCAATTTAACTAATGAGTATAATTAGAGAGAGACTTTATTGCAGAGTTCTGTGGGAAATAGTTTAGAAACATTCAGCCTGTGGAAAAGAAGGGGTTTGTGGTTCCTCAAAAAACCTTGCTGTAGAAACACACAGTCATTTTTTTATTAGTTAATGTGAGCAACGGAAGACGCTGTGTGCATGAGCTGAGAACCCCCTTGTCTCTCTCGGCACCCAGTCTTTAATTTAGTCCGTTGTTAGCTTTAAACCCTCCAGTTTTACTGGGCTGAGCTTCCCGTTGGCTCTCGCGGAAAGAAATTTCTTTGGGGTCCCAGGTCCCCGGCAGCGTGGCGGGGTGCAATGGGATGAGGTGCATCGGCCCTAAGATGTCCCTCGTGTCCCAGGGAAATGGTCACTCTCTGTATTCTCCATCAGCGGCCTTGTCTCTGCTCGTGTCCTGTTGCTGGGTTTGGGAGTATTTTAGGATTTTATTTTTTTTTTCTTCCAAAAAACCTATTGAGCAAGAGCTCCTCTTGGCATCGCTGGCTTTATCCAGGAGAAGCCTCTGGAAACCTGATCCCAGCCAGGTCTTGGCTTTGGACACCCTGAGAAACAGGGAAGGGCAGCACTCATCCTCCAGAACATAAAGGTGTTTGTGAGATGAACGGGACTGCGCAGGGGACGATGAAAATGGCTGAGCTGCCACTGCCCTCTGATGGAAAGCAGGCGACTGCAGTCCTGCCGAGCAGCCGGTCCTTATCTCCTTGGATCTTTATATCTGTGTTTATAGATAGAGATAAAATGTCTGTGTGTGTGTGTGTATATATATTTGCCACCTGTACTGCTCCTTGTCTGATTAAGGGAAGCCCAGCCCCATGCTGGGTTTTATGGAGATGCTCATCAGCATCTGCCCACTGGGACTGGGATGAACTGGTGTGTGCAGCTGCTGCCTGCCCTTTTTTCTTTCTTTTTCTGCTTTGCATGCACAATCCCTCCCACGCCCATGTGCTGAGGAAGGAGTGTGTAGTGCAGAATGAGTCCCTTACCTCTTCTGGGGACGTGCTCTTCATCTGACATGAAATGCTGACCCGGTGGCTGCTGTTAGCAGAGGTTCGTGGGCAGAAATGGAAAAGTTGCTTTGTTTTTCCTTCATTGCAACATTTCTTTGTCCCTGCACCTCCTGCCATCCAAGGTTGTGCTCCAGCACCCTTGCTTTCATTTGGAAGAAGGAAGGGAGACATTTATCTCGCGTCAAATAGTTTAATTCAAAATTCCAAAACAGGTCTTGTGCTGCCCAGGTTCCCAAATCTCCCCTGTCCAGGTACCCCAGCCCACAAACAACTTCTCAGTACTTTGGCATTAGCAGCGTGGAGAACTGCAATATACTGGATATTTAAATATGAAAGCACACAAAGATGACTATAAAAATAAGTGATACAGCTGTTGTGGTGATTGTTACGCTTTTGTGGTCAGCAGATTTTCTTTTACACTTGAAGAGGAGCTGTTGTTGGTTTTTAAAAAGCTAGAGACAGAAAATGCGGTGCAGGAGTTGAGACTGGTTTTGCTGATAGGCAAAGGCAGATACCACCTACCCTCCTCACCTTTGGGCTGGCAGAGCCCTGCCCTCACTAAAATAAAGACTGTGTGGGAATGGCCCCTTGGCAGGTCTCTGAACGGAAACCCTATAATTATAAACCACTGTCTAGCCTAAAGTGCTGCTAAGTGTTTAAGCTATCGTATTTCCACGGCTCATTCAAGGGTATTTTTAGTGTTGGTGGAAAAAGTTGCTGACTCTAGGTCAAGTAATGCCTCCTAAAGTCTACGGTCCTGATTCGGGAAAATTAACCATTTGCTTAAATGTTTGTTATGATGACGCCTCTCTCCCTTCCTCTGCCCAAGACTTTCCATGGAAGAGGATTGGGCCTGGAGTACAGGCACGGATAAGGAAGACCGGCTTGCGTTAACGTTCAAAGTAGAAAAGCCTGCTACTGCTAAAATGTAGGTATCTGTCTAAATATAATTTCTCTTACCTACTTCCATTGCACATACCTGCTTTTGCCAGAGTGGAGGCAAGCCGCGAAGGAGCTGCTTCCCTAGGCAGTGCCTTGGCTGAGGCTGTTCATGGCTCATTAATCCAGCTGTGGGGCAGAGCTGGCTCCAGAGCTTTGATTTGTTTTTAACACAAGTCTGTTGGTAATGATGGGAAGACATCGTTAAACTGTCACTCACCCGGCAAAGAAAAAAAAGCCAGAAATTGGAAGTTTGTGTGGTATTTGTTATCCCGTTTGTGTGTTTGGTGATTTATTGCTCCGTGGTCATGGCTGATGGTTTCCCTCGTGTCACTCTGGTCCCTCGTGCTCAGGGCTGTGTGAAAGCCCACTGAAGGAGATCTGTGCACAGCAGAGAGACCACGTTGGCCAGCACCACGGGTGAAGGGCTTAGCCTGCTTTTTCATAGGGTCATGGAGGAGCAAACATCCAGGGGACATCTGAGGAGGGTTGTTGGGTGATGGAGAAGAGCTCTTCTGCATGCAGCCACGCAGGGGAGAGGACAGCTGGAGAGTTTGCTGTTGGCAGCAAAGGTGAGCGATGCTGGCAGATTGGAGGTGGGCGCTGATGGCTTGACAGCATGTGGGAGATGGCCAGTGTAGGGATGAGCTGTGATGAGCCTTGAGATGGGGATGAATCGACGTGTTTGACATAAGAGGGGGAACGATGGAGAGAGGAGTGATGTGGTTATGCTGACAAGCCAGAAAATGAGCCCAGGCTCCTCTGAGTGAGAACACATCCTACGTTAGAGGCACAAACAGTGAAGCTGGAGTGGACTATTAAAGTCATCCAAATTAATTCTAGTTTAAACTAGAAAAATAATCCCATTTAATTTAAAAACTGTCAATGAGTATCCAGCAGCAACTCTTGCTTCTGGGCGAATAACCTCAGAGTTGAGGATATGAGCAAGTCCAGGGTCCCCCTTGATGCCTTTGAGGTGTCGCAGCTGGTTTGCAATACCTTAAATACCACTTCCAGTGGTATCAGCCCCTCACTGCTAAACACAGGCTTCAGGTTTGATAGCTACGCTTCACCATTAAGAGAGGGTTTGTGAATAACTCCTACTTGTGCCATTAAATCCACAGTTCATTCCCTACCCCTGTATTTTATTGCTTGGGTTGCTGATAACTTTCCTGTATGGCTTCTCTCGGAAAACAGTCTTTCCTGCTAAGCGTTTCCTTCCGTTGGTGCATGAGGTTTAATTAAAACCTCTCTGGGATTTGTTGCTTTGATGCAATGAAGGCTAGGGAAGCTTTTTTTTTTCCTTTTAAGAAACAATCAAGTGTCTGCAGGTAGTCTGCATGCTCCTGCAGCTCTGATAAGAAATTCCTACTTGTTTGCAAGGTCCTTCTTGGACACATGGCTTTGGTTTAGCTGGTTGCATTGTGAAATGGAGGAGACCTGTGGCTCTGGAAAGCCTCAGGGATGAATGGTTTGTCATGGAAAACCCAGAAAGCTTTATCTCAGGCCACAGTAATCCAGCTCAGGAGCTGGATGATGCCTCTCAGTTTTGCCCTGTCGCCCCTCAGACCATGTCCCACCAAGAGCTGTGGGGTGAGTCGAGCTCATGCAGGGCTGTGGATCCCTAAAACGTGGTGCAGGGAGGAGGATGCCCTGGGCTGTTTTGGCTGCCTGGTGGGTGCTCCTTGGGCAGTGAGGGGTGCTTGGCCCCTCTCTGGCATTTCTGACCCAGACATGCCCAGACCAGAAGTCTTGGATGCATCTCCTCCCCTGTTTGCTCCTGGATGCTACTGCAAGGCTGTCCCCTGAGCTGCTTTGGGTTCCTAGGCTAAAAGATGTTTCATTTTAATTATTGCTGGGAGCAAACTTGTCAGCTGCCCATTCACTCACAGTCATGGCTGATGCTGGATTTATCATTCCTGGTACCCAGAGCACAATTTGCACCACTGGGCATCTCTAACTGGGATGACAGCTGCTTTGAGGCATGTTGTGGTTTCATCCTTGCTGTACAATTGGGAAGACATCTTCAGGAAAAATGAATTTCTCTTGTACAGGACAACATGTAATGTATGCAGCTTGTCTAGTTTGTGTAAAGGTCTCCTCTCAGCAGTGCCCAGCAGAGGGTGCAGTGGCTTTGCATGTCTGCACAGCTGGTTTTCAGAGAAAGGAGGTCTTCCTCACTTACTTCTGTTTATTCTTTTTTTTTTTTTAAAGGGAGAAAGGGATTGAAGGGGCATTTTCTTGCCTGAAAACTGAAGTTATTTAATGCCCATATCAAAAACAATCACTACATAATTTTAGAGAAAAGTATAGCAGTATTATAGTTCATTCAGAAAACATGCTGATATCCAACTATGTGAAACATTTGCAAATAGGCAATGGATGGGAGGTTTATAAGTGTCCTTTTATATTTAATTTTATATGCTCTTATGAAGCCTTTATGTATCAAATTGTGTTGGGGTTGTTAAAATTTTGTAATGCTTTTTGGGGTGTACTATTCCCAGTGTTTGTAACAAGGGCAGGATATTGCTTTCCCCATGTTACAAGTTCTTGGTATCACAGATGCCCTAGGAGAGCATTACCTCGTGGATCATTTGAATCTTTAGACTCTTGCTTTCAAAATGCACATACTGTGCAAAATTAGCTCTCCTTTAAATCAGCTATGAAACCTCTCTCTGTGCTCCACGGCTGCTCCTTCCAGTGTCTGTATAGACTGACATGAGCTTTTTCCCCTGGAATAGCAAGCTTTAAAAACTGTCCACACAATACACACAGTTGGGCAGGAGGAACTCAATACCGCAGTTATGAAGCCCTCCTGTGTAGGACCGGGTTCAGAAGTTGCTTGGTTATGATCCTTATGTCAACCAGTTGTGAATAATTTCTCTGCCACCAAGGGTCAGCCAGACAGCGCCGGAGAATTGCCAGGGATCAAGCAGTTGCTTTGGCCAGCAAAGTCTGTTTTGACACCTTTTTTTCTTTCAAAAAAAACCCCCAAAACCCAACAAACCCAAACAACCAAAAAACCAAACAACAAACCCAAACATTGGTCCTACAAAAAGCCAGTGTGTGTTTTGCCCCTTCTTGGGCAGGTACAGCGCTGGTGTGAGCTGGGCAGCCTCGCTATCTGCTTGCCCAGGCACGCTGCTGCCTTTGTACGCCGGCGCCCGGTGAGAAGTGACAGAGGATAATTTCACTAGATTAGACTGGGGCTTGATGCTGAAGGCTGAGTTGATCAAGGCCTTGTTATTCTCATAGCGGTGGGCTTTTGTGCTGAGTTCACCCACTGGCAAGCAGTGCGACACGAGTGCCAAGTCTCCAGAAGGTTCCCAACCCCTTGGTAGCGGTACGGGGATTTATTTATTTTATA